AAACATTATCTGAACACACAGGCAAACTGTCATGCATCAGCGAGTCAAACACACTCTAACTGAAGTCATTTTCAGTATGAAGAGAGCTTCGACTAGTGGATGATTTTTACAATGACTCGTAAGCAAACTATGAGGTCCTGTGTTAAATACTCATTGTCCTACGGGGAGTTAAGGGTAGAGCTCAGTGGCTCATGCTTAGCATGCGCAGGTCCCTGGATTTGACCCCCAACACTACTGCCTCTAAAATGTGGGTCGGGGGACTGGGGACATAGCTCAGTAGAATAAGTGCTTGCCTGGCAAGCACAAGGGCCTGAGTTCAATCCCCAGTTCCACCAAAAAAATAAAATACAATGTGGGCCAGTTTATTACCTTTCAGAAGCCAATATCTCTTTTTCAGCTAAAGTAAGCAATAATAAGCAAAAGGATTTTTTAAAAAATCATGAATCACATCAAATGAAATGCTTTGACATAAATTTTGTCATTGGCTAAATTTTACTTTATTGCTTACAAAAAAGCATTGTTCTATAAAGTAGCTTCTTAATTCAAACTGAATCTAATTTGTACTTAAATAAGTTTTATATTTACTTAAATTTTTTCAGATTAACTTACCATTCTTTAACAGTTACTTCTCTAATTCCTTCTCCAATGTCTGAGAGTTTGAACTGAACAATCTGTCCACGAAGAACTTCAAAGACAAATGAGAAATAATCTTATGAAATATATATTACTAATAGCTTTTTATATCTAAAATTAGAAAATATTTTCCAGGAGAGGCAAAAACTGTTCCATTTTACAGATTAAAAACACCATTTTATCATTTTAAAAGTAAAACCACTATTCATAACCATTAAAAATGTGAGTGTTTTTCATGACAGGCTTGCTAACTTGCCATAGAAATTATATTTTCCGGGCTGGCGAGATGGCTCAGTGGTCTAAAGCACCTACTTGGAACAAGCTTGGCAAAGCACAGGGACCGCGGTTCGATCCTCCAGCACCACATGCCAGCCATCCGCGCCCCCTGGTGGGCTGAGCTGGCCACACACACACACACACACACACACACACACACA